AAGCCAGGTGGTTAGTTATTACACGCCGCCTGGCTTCCTTAATGGGACTTCCGGTACTCGGTATCCGGTATCGGCGAGTACCGAAAAAATAGTCCAGATAAATTTTTTTTTTAAATAGGGTCAGGGGACATTCGAGTAGAATAGCCAACGTGTTTCGGGGGTCCAAAAACACCCCCTTCATCATGGCCTAGGGCTTTATCAGCAACCCTAGGATTGCTGCCAAACCAACTAATGACAGGCCCTCGCATGTCAAGCATGTTTTCAAACATTGCCTATGCAGTCTATGGGGCCAAAATGAGCTGTAATATGCCAAAAAAAGCCCCTTTGCCTTTTTCAGGGACAGGCATTTTGCTTGTTGTGACAAAACGCTCAGATGTGAACAGGTCTATAAATATGAATGGGATTTTTCGGGGGACATATTTTTAAAGCGTTTTTTTAGGGCAGAAAAAGCGCTACAAACGCTCGGTGTGAACCAGGCCTTGAAGCTCCCATATTTCTCTGCTGAAAGATCGCCTTTAGTAGTATCAAACTCTCAATTCGTTTTTTCAAAAATGAATCCAGATCAAACAAATATACATTGTGCTGCAAAGTATTACGTTACATTTATGCCCAAGCTCTTACAGTCATCGTGTTTTCAAACAGCTGGCTCCAGCTCTCTCAACTCTGCTTCCCTGAACTTCATGTCCACTTCAAGATCACAAGGGACAGGTCAGTCTCCAGTAGCTGTCCATCTACTAGCTTGGAGAAAGGAGGGCGGAAAAGTGGGGAACAGGGAGCAGGGGAGTGGATTGCTCTGCCGTGCTTGTGGAAACAGCTTATAATAGAAGTCACCAGCACTCAATGATATGTGCAAGAAGTAGCACACTTTCATTAAATCGTCACATGCGTGGCCAACGTTTCGGGGCCATGCAGGGCCCCTAATGTCGCCCAGAGGAAGGGACCCTGCGTGGCCCCCGAAATGTTGGCTGTGTGACGATTGAATAAAAAGTGCCTATACTTCTACCACACATCATCGAGTGCTGGTGACTTCTATTATGGACTGTATCTGACACAGCGCCATCCGTGTTGTCAGGTAAACCTTTTAAAGATCAAGGAGCAGTGCCCACTGTAAGTGATTTATTCCGCATTTGTAATAGCTTTAAAATCTTTTGACTTTGAGATGTTCTAACTTCCGTTCACTTAGATAATAAACAAGATTTCATTTTACCTGGGGTACCCAAATTTGTGCACAGGACCCTAGCGGTTGGCAATTGCTTGTCTCCTTAAGGATGGCCTCCAAGCGGACAGTGAGAGAGGGAGCGCACTCTGTCATCTCTTGAATTTCATATGGCTTGCAGATAAAAGGGGAATCTCTGGCACCTCGGTTCCTTCCAGCTTGCTAACCTTTATGGCTCCAGTCTTTTCCTTTCAAGAAATACTTGTCATCTTATCCGAGCTATGCACCGAGCCTCTAGACTTACTGCTCATTAGAAATGGCAGATTCTATTTATGCCCCAAGCAAACTTTATTATTAGGCTTCTCTTGTATGTGAAAGTTCAGGTTGTGCGTCCAGCTAAAGCATCTGCTGGAGAAAGCGGAGTTCTCGGGGGAGAAATCAACTTTATTTCCTCTAGATTGCTGCCAAGCCAGATTGGGCAGTTTAGAGCGTATTCAGGCATATTGAGAGTCTATTGACGTAAACCTGTCACAAACCTGGGCAAGCCAAACTGAGCATAAGATGGAAAAAAAAATGAATAAATGGAAGTTTTCCTTTAGTGAAAGGGGCTGTTGGAGAAGCCTGGGGGCTAATCTCCTTCCTACTGACTATGGACCTAGGAATATGGAGGCCCCCTCAAACCTCTTGGGGTTACATGGAACTAAGACTTTTGAGGGACTGTTCCTGGAACCCTGAGGATTGCTATGTATGTGTACCCCATGGAATTATTAACCCAGATTTATGTGTGGAGTGGATATGCCACGTCTTTCCCCTGGCATTATGTTTAAGTCACCCTGTGCCCATTAAAGGTACAGGGTATCAATCCAGAAACACCAAAGGGGTTAACTCTGGACTTCGACTTCCATTGAACTTGTTACAGTCTGTTCGTCCATTTGTTTAATTGTGTTAATGATGGGATTAACATAGCTGACTCTAGGTGTAGATGAGTAGATCAACGTATAATCTACTCATCTAACCTATAATCTACTCATCTACATCTATAATCCCATCCTATTTGTTTTCCCCCCTCCCTATTCTTTCATTAAGGCATCGGGGAGGGGATTGTTTGCTTGATGTTTTGATTGCGTTATGTTTTTAGACCACCAGAGCCTTATAAATACTGTGCTGGTTTTCAATAGACTCAGATCTGTTTTTGCTTCAGCATTGGTGTTGTCTGATGTTTGGGGTAAATCTTTATTATTTTGGGAGTTTAGTTTTCTGTCCTAATATATTGGTTCCGTCCAATAATTAGGCAGGTTTGGGCTGAGGACACTGGAATTTGGGTTCCAGCGGAGAGGAAGACATAGTGACAGAGGCACCCAGTCGGGGTGCCTTGCGGTCCATCACAAAAACCACATGTCAAAATGAATGACAGATGCTGAACTCTAGGAAACTGAAGATACCATATGTGCTGTTCTTGAGCTTGGCCAGCTACCTCCCTATTGGCCCTTTAATGGATTAGGAATAGCCTTACTCACCAATAGGTTTCCTAGGCAGAATGCTGAGATCAAGTTTGAGATTTATGCATAGAATTAACTGCTAATATCTCTGGATCTACTCATCATTTTGACATGTGGGTCTTATTGAAGATAACCTCTGCTTATGACATAAAACAACTGGTAGGACTCGCCTGTCCTAATATCCATGTCTCTGACCTGTTCAAGAGCTGTGGCTATCTGAAGAATCTCCAGGTTTGACTTCTCCCCGTCATGTGCCATGTTCCTTCTGCTGACCCCTATGTTTCTCCTCTGTCATGTAGTGATGTAGGGGATGGTGGAATAAACCACAGAGCACAGTGGGGGACCAAGAATCCAACATTCCTGGATGTGTGTCGCATGGGACAAGTCCATGGTTCTGTAAGAGAGGAAAGATCAGAAGACTAGGCAGCAGGACAGGAGGGTATGAAACGTCTTAATTTTCAAGTTCAATGACAGTTGCTATAACATACTTCTTTTTTAACTTTACAAAATCCATGAATTGGTATATTTATTATAAACCGTAAATCTAAAGTTAGCTGCCAGCTTCAGTCCAATGTGATCTTTTGATCGCTTTGTGATCATATTTAGCATCGTACTGTTTATCATATTGAATTAAAGCAAAACTCCAAGCAGATAAACAGTACAAAAACATATAAAATATTTAAAGAAGTTCAGCTTTTGTAAAAATTAAAGAAATGCATAATAATTAATAAATAAAATATTGCCTACTGACAGTCACGGCTCTCTGCAGGGACAGAGTCGAGAAGTGAGCGAGCGATGGTATGTGTTCGCTCACTTCCCGATCAATTGAGCCGACCTGTGACAGTCTCATTGTCACACGTCGGCTGGAACTATGAGGATGAGTGAAAACCACTCACCTCATAATTCTCCTTTAAATCACCTCATACAGCGTCCAGCCATCCTCACTGTAGGTAGAGCTGCCCATACTCCGGCATCTACCTAGCGCGAGGACAGCTGGAACGCTGTATGAGGTGATTTAATGCACTTGTCAATGTTTCAGGACAATGCTGTTGGACCTCTAAGCTCCTGAGGAAGCAGGTTTAATTGTTGTGAAAAAATTATGAACAGACTATATAGACTGAAGCAACAACTAATGCGAAGCACACATGATGCACAGTAAGAATTTCAGAGAGGCCTCTGACACGGTCATACAATTATTGTGGCGTTTTGTATATGGCATTGTAACATGTACCTGTAAATTTTCTCACACTTTATCATTTAAGATTTTTTACGAATGTATTAGATTTTATGTGGTCGTGCAAATACATCATACGTGTTTGTTACTAATAAAGTCCCAACTGGGGTTATGCGTTTCTGAAGGGGAGAGAGTGACATGTTTCCTATACTAAGAAGCATTGGGTTTTGCTTTGCTCCTGAAAGCCAGACGGAATGGTGGAGGAACGCAAAAAAGTTTTTTTCACTGTCTGTGTCCTTGTACTGTATATAGATACACATTCAAGATTCCTGGGCCAAAAAGGATCTAAAAACGAAACCATTGTGAAGCCTTCATAATGGATTCTCAGCTCTCCTCCCTTTTTTTGTTGCAGTAATAAAACCTCATTAAAGAAGAACTCCAAAATTAACTCTTGCAGCGGGGCTACCCCGCACTGCAAGGGTTAACTGCTCGTTTTGGTCTAGGGGCTGGATTAAAGCAGATATTTCTACCAGATCCTCGTTCCTGCCTGTCTGCTAGACCGGTGCACACAGCCTGGGCTGTGGGGGTCTAGGGACTGCTGATGTCATCGCGTCTAATGCAGGTCCATTTGGCTCCATCAGACGTGAGGATGCCGAGGGACATATCACAGAAGGAGGAGAGAGGTGAGTGGTCACCGCCACAGGACCAAGGAGCGGGTGAGCATATGTTCTGTAATCCGGCCCCTGGACCAAAAGGAGCAGTTAATCCTTGCAGTGTGGGGGTAGCTCCGCTGCAAGAGTTAATTAAAGTAATTCCTGGAGTGCTTCTTTAAAGAAAACTTGTCATGAGAGAAATGCATGGGCGGCCATTGCTGAAAATGCTAATTGTCTGGATGTCCTGGCGATCCATTGACTTCAGACCTTCATGAATCACTAACCTGGAATGATGGCACGGATCAGGGCTATGTGTACTTGCTGCATGCCTGTTCCAGGACTGTGTCTCAGAAAGTGTAAAAGTCACAGACAGCTATGTGCGTTTATCTTATGTCAGGTTTGTGTTGGATATTTTTGTTGTTTCTTTGTGTTATTATTATCATACTCCGAAACATATTGGATTATCTCAGCAGATGACTTGTGTATATTGATGCATCTTTTTTGTTTTCTTCCTGTAGGTGCTTTTGTTTTGCGTCACTGCTGCCCTGTACATGTTCTTTTTCAGGTAAGTTCAGACTCACGTTATATGTTTGTCATTTAGAATTCCATATTGCTGGAACTGGTGTGCTATCTCCAACCTCATGTACAGAATAGTCCATCAATGCCGTGCTCTATGCAGCACTTCTGCCATCATCACAGGCTGTGACACTCCACGATATATCTAAAGCCGAAAACAATATCTCAAGGCTACAGGGCTGTACGGGGGGACCAGATCCTTACTGGCCGACATTGTTGTGTTTTGACACGTCATAGTGTTATGTCACTGCCTGTGTTCTGTCAAAAACTTCTCAAGATCTCCAAAGATGTTACTTCCAGTTTACTTACCAGTAAGAGGATTGGGTATTGAGGTTTGAGTAGGCTTTACTGCGCGTCACACCACCCGCAGCATTTCCCTATACACATACCACACAGCAATAAAGTATTATAATCAACTAGGGTCAGACTAATCCAATGGTATATATAGCATGGGGGGGCAGTGGGGCAGTGGGGCAGTGGAGGGGACCAATTTGTGGGGGTAATTTCAGTCTCCCACACTTGGTGGGAAACTGGAATTACTCTTTAAATGCAAAATTGGAAGTACACTATAAGCCCTCATTCACACGAGAGAAGGCGTCACGTACAGCTCTGTGCTGCCTGCATGGCCGTATCGGGCAGCTCCCGGGAAGGACAGGTGCTGTGTGTGATTAGCACGCAGCCCCTGTCCTTCTCTATGGGAGTGCGCGGCCATACGCCACCCTACTCTCACCCGCCCTGCACGCCTGTGCGGGTGTCCATACTCGTACGCTGGCAGGATGGATCCTGTCTGCGTCCGAGCCAGGAAACGCACACCCACACGGACCTGCAATTTGGGTCAGCGTAGGGGGGCGTACGACCACGTACTCGCCTAGAGAAGGACGGGGGTTGCTTACTAATCACACGCAGCACCTGTCCTTCCCGGGAGCGGCCCGATACGGCCGTGCACGCAGCACAGAGCTGTACGTGACGCCTTCTCTCGTGTGAATGAGGGCAAAAGCGCATTTAAACCCAAAAACTAAAATATAGTATATTGCAGCTTATCAGTCATTACAAATGGGGGCTGCAATAGTTTTCATTTTTCAGGCTTTTTAAATTTTATTTTCAAGTGGTGATCCTGTGAATAGCACACTTCCTGTCCTTGGTGGCTACACTCACTTATCCACTGTGTCTATGGAGGGAGCCATGGTTGTCACACAAGCTGAACATTTATGCCTTTCTTCATCTCTATTACATGTTGGATTAACGGTATTAGTAGTTAACACAAGAGAGATAAGGTTGGCTGGCCTGTCTTTTCAGCTCACAGGAAGTGACAAGGGACACATAATTTCTGATCAACAATTGATTTCTGTGCTTGCCAAAAATGTTCTTACCCAGAAAAGTGAAAGCCAATGCAGCCTCCACATTAAAGGACTGATAAGCTGCAATATATGACAGTTTTGTTTTTGGGTTTAGTTATCCTCTAACTGATCTTTTGCTTTCTGGAAAAGACCCGTCAGCTCTTTAATCGGACATTCCCGTGCCACGTACCAAGTTATATAAGACTCAAGCTTGACAACTGTTCCTCATCTATATTTTTGTTCAAGGCCCGCTAGTCAGAATCATTGACGTCAGTGAGCCAGGATAATAGCCAGTGAACTAGCATTTTTAGGAGGCCAGCAATGACAGGCCTTTTATTATTTTCGTGTCCAAGGCGATGAGACATTTTGCATATACATGTAATATATCTAGTTTAAGGAAACAAACATGACACGGCAGCAAAATGCAGACTGCATTCCATATCACATTCCAGGTTTCTTCTTTCCTGTTTATTTCAAACCCCTGAAGACTATTTTCCATGGCCCTTTCTATCATTCTATTTTCTCTGATCCGTCTTACATACCCTCTAAGAGAAGCAGCGGCATTCTCCACCTCTGTGAGGAGACAGATATTTGGTAAATCCTTCTTACTCTTCATAAAAAACTCCTTAAATTTCATCAGAGCCCCCCACGTATGGTCAGAGGTATCAGTGCTGCCATTTACTGCTGCATGGGGCCTCCTGTTACTTTCCAAGGTCAGTGTTACACATCATTGCCACTGAAGTATTTCTACCTCCAGTAAAAATCCCTAATCTAATACAATGAAGCAGCCTGCGCTCTCTATCTGGGCCACAGATCAAGGCTCTCAATGGAACAGCATTCAAACAGTTGTGGAAATGGGATAAATATCACTTAACTACTTGCCGTCCGCCCATCGTAAATTAACGGACCGACGACAAGCACCTTCCAGTGGGGCGCCGTAAATATACGGCTTTTGTTCTCTCTGCTCGTGTGCGCCCCTTGGCGCGCACCGGGCAGAACACACTGACAGGTGTAAACAGCCGCTAACGGCTGTTACATATACAAGCGTTCGGCGGCTCTATAGCTGTCCGATCGCATTGTTTAGTGCCTCTGTCTTTTATATTTTACAAAAAAATTGGGTAATAATTGTTCATAACTTAAAATATGAGAAACACGTTTCTTTTTTTCTAAATTGTTGGTAATTTTTTCTTAATATAGTAAAACATAAACACCCCAGTGGTGACTAAATACCAAAAGAAAGCTCTATCTGTCCCTAAAAAATGATATTAAAAAAATTTCAGTACAGCGTTGCATGACGGAATAAATGTCAGTCAAAGTACCGCAGCGCTGAATACCGAAAAATAGCCTGGACAGGAAGGGAGTTTAACACCCCGGTCATCAAATGGTTAAAGTGTGACTCTATTCTTTTTTTTTATAGTTTTGCAAGACCTGCCGCATGACCTTCTAGTCATGTGACAGATCTTCCCCACTCCCGTGTTTATTAGAACAAATGGGGCGTCACATACTTCAGGGTCCCCGGCAGACAGCACAGGGCTTTATTTTTTCTTTTGGGAAAAGCAGCAGTAAGGGCCATGGTTTATAAATTGGCTCCCTAGTGAAAGGTTACGGTCACATCTTACCCAATCATGGCTGGATGTTTACATCCCAAAATAAGTAGCTGTATTGTTTTTATGTCAGAAGAATGAAGTCTTCCCTTGTGTATTGCAAATGTACATAATGATCACCTCTGCAATGATATATATACATATATATAGTAATAGAAAACGTTGTGTATTATGTTAGTGAGGACGTCAGATTGTACTGGTGTTATGTGCGTAGATTTGTGTTGTCTAAGGGCCCATTTACACCTTTACATTGCTATAATGCACTCATTAGGCCTCATTTACAAGAGAAAAATTTGGCACATTCCCTTTGTGTGGCCAATGAAAATGGCACCACTACACACTAATGAGTGTATGGTGTGTTGCACTAAGGCCTCATTCACACAAGAAAAAGCCGGCACGTACAGCTCCGTGCTGCGTGCACGGCCATATCGGGCAGCTCTCGATAAGGACAGTTGCTGCGTGTGCTTAGTACGCAGCCCCTGTCCTTCTCTATGGGTGTATGCGGCCGTTCACCGCCCTATGCTCACCCGCCCTGCACGTCCATGAGGATAGATGGATGGATCCTGTCTGCGTCCGAGCCGGGACACCCGTACGGACCTGCACTTTGGGTGAGCGTAGGACGGCGTACGGCCGTGTACTCCCATAGAGAAGGACAGGGGCTGCGTACTAATCACACACAGCACCTGTCCTTCCCGGGAGCTGCCCGATACGGCCGTGCACGCAGCACGGAGCTGTACGTGCTGGCTTTTTCTTGTGTGAATGAGACCTTAGCGCAACACACCATACACTCATTAGTGTGTAGTGGTGCCATTTTCATTGGCCACACAAAGGGAATGCAATGCTTTGTAGTGTGCAATAACACAGACTATTCTAAGAAGCATTTATTTGAGTCAATTATAGCCTCTCATTATATCTGAAGATGGAGTGCCTGGCCACTGAAACCTGTTGGCTGTTTTCTATACTATAAGAATGATTTAGACTCTTTTACTTTTTGGTCTGTTGCCCCTGCTGTTGATGTTTTCTGGGTACCTTCTGTAGGGTACTCTTGTTTTTTGTTATGATCTGCCTAACCAAAACCAGTGAGCTTTTTAAATGATGATCTTCCCTACTACTGCTTTATATAAACGTGAATTGAAGTCCCAGTGCCTCGTGTTTGTATTCTTGTTTGGAATCTATTCAAATGAATCGGTTCGTAGTCACCATAGTAGACTGGCTAGGTGTAAAGTGTCTCTTAGATGCTTTCTTCGGAATATGACACAGCTGTATGATTTAATAAAATCCATCATTTAGTTTGTCTTCAATTAAAGTTCAGCGAATGAGAACAGCCTGGTTTCATCAGTCCAGGAAAAGTTGTTTTTCCTAGAGAGGTTCCCACGTTGATGTAAATATTGTGGGGAGATACAATCTCGGGTCTACATGCAGGCTGGTGAGAGTACAGTCACACAGGACAGCAGTGACACGGCTTCAGCTGAAAACATTTCTTTCCACCATCCTGAGCTTCCAGCACAGAAGATCCGGTTTCACGTGTGTGCCTCGTAGAGCAGAGAAGCAGGAAGTTGTTTACCTGGAAGGTGAGCCCGGCAGTCATGGGAGATGCTTTTAAAAGCTAAAATTTCAGGCGCCTTTATCAAAAGCCATCCCCAGAGGAGGAAAAATTGAATCTCCTCCCTTTGTGTAGTTTCCGAGTGTCAATCACAGGAACCCCCTTTGTCCCGGACAGGAATTGATGTGACCTGACTATTTATCATGGTCCTGTCATCCTAGAAAAGCTGGATAATAGACAGAAGAAACAGCTTTTTATTCTCAGGCCAGGGACAATACATAGCCGGTGTCATTGTGAAGCGGACGTGTCCCCCATCTGCCCCGAGAAGCTTTCCGCGGCCTCGCTGCCCGTAACAATATAGGTTATTACACGTACGGCTCTGAGCTCTTACCAGGCTCGGCTGATATTACAGGTCGGATGCTGGGAAAGCAATTGAGCTTCACAGATTCTGTTTCCTCCATTGATCTAAGAACAAAGGCTTTGGAGATGCTAGCAGAGAACTGAT